ATTCCCACTACATCAAGAAAGATTGGCCACTCCTACAGTCATTGGAGCCTGGGAGGAAAAGTGTTCAGCATCCACCACTTGTTGAATCAAGGAAGATTTTGTTACCACCCTTACACATCAAGCTAGGTCTGATGAAGAACTTTGTGAAGGCCATTGACAAAACTCAATCAGCTTTCAAGTACCTCCATGGAAAATTTCCAAGGTTAAGTGAAGCTAAGATAAATGAAGGTGTCTTTGTTGGTCCTCAGATTCGTGAACTTCTTCATCGAATAAGGCCAAAAAAGTCAAGCGTGGGAGCCTAAAGTTAGGCTTTTAAATCCATATTTTGACAACTAACTAAAAGAGGCCTGATTTTCAGCAGAGTTGTGTGGCCACAAATCTCATTAAAATGAGTAAGAGCTTCAGGAGTGCAGTGCTTTTAAAAAACCAGGTCACTTCTTTTAAGATATCTAAATGTGGATTGATGAGTCTAGTTTTAGGCACTCCGTTTTGAAACGTTTTGCCTAAAACTATCTGAGCATTTTTTTTTCTTTTGAGCTGCCACTGTTCTAGCCAGCCTGTCACACTAAACAGTGAGTGCCAAACATCTGTAGAAGGATTCAGCCATCAGAGTTTGTAGTCTAAAGGACAGGGATGTGTTGTAACAATAAGAATACTACCAGTATGGATGGAGTAAAAGAGGACGCTAGAAAAATTCTCATTTGTACCATTTGTTCTGATTAATATTGCATCTCTCCATCATGAGCATATTCAATGAATTTAAAGTGTTAATAATTATTCCACAGTCAGACTGAGTTGCTTAAGTATTTTTGGTTAAGCTCTCTTGCTACAATATGCATTCAGGAAATAGTCAAAACCCTTCTTACTGAATACTAGGGAATATAGATATAGATATAGATAGATAGATAGATAGGAAAGAGTAGGTTTTTATAGAAAAACCTTGAAATCAAAATAATTGTGAAGGCCTCTAACAGAGGGAGCATCCAATAACATAATCTGAAATGTTTTTCTACAACTCTTCTCTACATTTCCTCCCTGCCCTAAAGAGCTTACATGGGAAAGGCAAAAAACGGCAGAGTCATTTGTACAGGTCATATGGGGAA